CCCTACCAGGCATTATCTCTGATCACAGGGCCAGGAGTAATCCCTTTGAGCATAGCCAGGTATGACCCCAAAACTACAGACAAAAAAAAAATATCAGCACTTTGCCAAAACGCACAGTCCTGTTGAGAAGCCAAGATGCGATTTAACTCTCTGATAGCACCTAATATATGCCCATTTTGGGGAAAAGAGAGAGAGAAAGAGAGAGAGAGAGAGAGAGAGAGAGAGAGAGAGAGAGAGAGAGCCTAGAACTACCTGTCGAAATAAGAAATGTAAAATCGTCTCCATTCCCTTCAGAGTAATCAAGCATACTTGCAAGTCTCCACCCACTGCTCCCTGGTGGCATATAGCAGGACACCTAAAAGACAGATAACAAGACCCCCTCCCCCTTCTTCTACAAAAGTTCACAGAGCAGACCTTCCCGAGAATTCCAGAAATTACCCTCCATGAGTGCTGGCTACAGCTGTGAGCCCTTCTCTGCCCATTAGCAAAGGCAGCCCTCCGAACATACGATGAGTAATGACCGAGAGACAGCTGCGTCCTCACTCATCATGTCCCACAGAACCCCACGTCGCCGCAGCCGACGAATGAATGAAAGACGCCCATCCAGTCCTATCACAGAGGTTGTCCAATGCGTGTTAAAATAAAGCAGCAACCAGGTGGCCCTCAGTGACCCAGGAGGAGCCAAGTACAATTTAAACTCACCCCATGCCCAGGCCACCCATCTTTACACACTGCCATGCTGTCAAAGTAGTCTTTATCCTCCTCCTTCAAACAATGCACAAAGGCAGCCGAGGGAAGGAAGTTATGTTGCAATATTCCGAAACATAAATCTGACTACCACCCTGTCCAGTATCCTGTTTTCCTGACACACGGATTACAGTGCTGAAGGCAGCACCTCTGGGCCTCTTGTCCTGTTTTTCTAAGTGTGGCTCTCAATGCTCCTTTGCCACCTGCATTCACACATCCAAACACCGGTTGTGCAAGCACAGATCATGTTTGTGTGTCTAGTTACTCAACCAACGTGTACAATTGCCTGTTGGCACATCTGGCGCCCCCTCCGAAAGCCGTTCGTTCCCAAATTGTGACATTCGATTTCATTCACCCAGCACCACCCCCTCCTCAAAAGTCAACTGCAAAATCAACTGCGACGCAAGTAAGAGGGAACAGGCCATTATTTCAAAAGTGTCTACGGATTTCATCTTTTTAACATTCTGCTGGGAGAGTGAAAGCTCGAAATCCCCCCCTTCCTTTCTGCTTTGATTAGAATTCAGGAAGGCGGTGGCCCATTTCCAGTGGTGTCATCAATGCGCTACTCAAGGAGGGAAAAGTGGTTAACTACTCGGAGCCTTATTTTACTCTGGGACTCAGAGGTAGATAATGCGTGTTATTGGCAGATCAGAGGTGGCAGGAACCGTGGCTGTTTGGCTTGCTCAAGTACAAGGCCTTCTCGAATGTGATGAGGTAGGGCTTTGAGAACTGGAAGAAAGTGAGCCCAGGTGAAAGTCCACAGCAGTGAGAGGCTTAAAGGGACAGGCCCTGGGAAACTGCTTCAGGGAAAGGCAACTTTGGCAGAAGCAAGGCAAAGCCCTGGCCAGGAGAGGGTCCAGGGTTATCTAGCACGCTGCCTCTGGACCCTCTTCACAGAGGAAACGACACAATTTAGAATTCCACCTAGGCTCAGAACACTTGTTCGTTTCCTGTCTGAGCATTAAGCTAGAGGGCAAAGAGTAGAGGCCTCCTGGCTATATACAAATACTCAGGAAGCCCAGGCTGCACTGAGCTCTGTGGCTGAGTAGGACCAAACCCTTTGCAGAGACCAAGAATGGGTTTTGTGACATCAGAGGGAACTCGTACAGGACTCATCTAAACAGGCACTTTTGCCAACTGTCACTAAGGACAACTCTGACCCATAATTCCTTCGGCATCAAATTGACTTTAAATGCTTTCTGATTCTTCATCTCCTAGATCTTATTTGACCAACACAATTTAAGAAAGAAAGAAAAAAAAAAAAGTAGGGCAGGATATGTCTTGCCGGCAGTGCTCAAGGGATCAGAGGCTACTTGTGGTACGGACCTGATGCTCAGTATAATCACCCAGGGTTTTGGTGTCTCTCAGAATTGGGAGACTGTGGGGGCACCAGGGTCACAGCCAGCAGTGCTGAGAGCTGAGTGTCCAGGCTGGAGGGAGACCAGGCAGTAAGAACTGAATGTAGGAGGATGTCACACATGCATGACAGGGACTCTGCAACTTTAAGCTCTCTCCCTTGACCCCAGTAGAAACATTTTTGAAAGGCAATTTTGCTGACCTCATTTTTTTCAAAATTGGTTTCATAGGGTTGGGAGATGCAGCTCAGCCACAGGGCACTTGCCTTGCATGTGTAAGGCCTTGGGGTTCGATCCCCAGCTCCACCAGCCCCACTCCAAATTAGATAAAAACAGAAGACAACCTAGGGACATTGGGGGATGAACCCCAAAACTGGTGGTGGGATTGGAGTTGGAACATTGTATGTCTGCTACTCCATTCTGAATAACTATGCGAATCATGGTGTCTTCATATTTAATAACTTTTAATTAAGATTTCTGAATGATTGTGCTATTCATGCTATTCTCACTTAGGAACAAATATTTCTCAGATGTGGGGAGCTGTCCTGTGCACTGTGGGCCTTTCAGCAGCAGACTGTGATGTGCTAGATGTCAAAAGTGAGTAGATGTCCTTCCGACCCCCGTCCCAGTCATCAAACACACCTCCAGACAGTCCTACACACCCCTTAGGGAATGGGGGTGGGGTGTAAATTGTTTTCCCGTTGAGAATCACTGACTTAAAATGACCTAATGAGAGATTAAATTAAATGAAGACTGTGTCTTCGAGCATTGAAAATGATTCTATCAGTGGTAGAAAGTTATATAGGGAAACAAAAGAGGTATCTTGATATAGATGAAGCCTTTTTAGAAATGAGTCTCCTGGGGGTGTAAATGGGAAGGACCTGATGCAGGTAGGACAAGTGACTCGAAATACACAAGGTCACGGAGAAAGTCATCCTTGCTGAAAGGAGCCCACCTGGAAGGCACCGCCACCAGGCCATCTCCCTCCCGCCCTTGCCTTGATTCCCTCGGCATCAACTACAAAATGCATGGCATGCACCCAATGTGCAATAGCTGATTTTCAGATAAGAGGTCTATAGAGATGCACATTTTTTTGAAAGTACTGTTTATTTAATGCAGCATGACTTAAAACGGGCCTGTAACCTGACAAGTGTACTGAATGAGGAATGTTCAATTTACCAGTTCTAACTAGCCAAGTCCTCACATGAACTTTCCAAGACCCGGCTGAGAAGCCTGGGAAAGTATAACTAACCACAAACCCTCTGCGTTTCCTCGACCTGATTCCTTCTCCCCGCCTGATCTCCACTACCTTCAGAACTCTTTTAAGACCAGTCCTGGCTCTCGATGTGTTCTAAAAACCTCAGCCATCGGCAGCCCGACAGCCACCTCAGCTCAACAGCTATCCATGCTTTCATGTCAACCAACACTGAAAGGAAAGATTCTGTTCTATTTTTAAATATATTGAGCAAAGAAGCAGCTTGATATGTCTTTGTAAAGGATGGCTGTCACCCAAATTCACTGTTATTCTATTTTTATCGTTGATAGAGACTTTGAAGTCAGATGCATGTTGAGTTCAAATCCCAAGTCTTTATTTGTCAACTATGTCGGTTTATTTATTTATTTTTTGAAAATCACTTCATCTCCCTGAGACTCAGTATCCATCTATGTAAAATGGGAATAATAACAATAGTCCCTAAAGTGTAGACCATTTAGAGGAATACATGACATGACACATTTAAGGCACACATGTCCCAAAATGTTGGCCATGTTATGATTATTGGTCTAAACATTACTTGAGCCGTCATTTAATCATTATCCAACTAACATTTATTCAACACCTTCTGTGCACTTGGTACTGGAAAAATTCGGTAAGTATTGTAAAATTAGTTTTCTTAATGACTCAATAAACATTTATTCAGCGCCTTTTATGTGCTGGGTGCTAGAAAAACTCAATAAATATTGTAAAATTGACTTTCTTAATGACTTGAGTGCACAACACTGAAGTATCAGAAATGTCTTTGCTGGTGGATAAAATATATATAGCAAGCACTTGTATAATGCCCGGTACATAGGCACACAGCAGCTAGACTCTGTTCCATGATGAGGGTGCTGATGGCTGTGATTTTGAAAACTAGTTAATTTGGCCATCTTAATTCACTTCACATGCCAGAGTCCTCACTTAATGCCAGTTCCTATAAGAAATCATTTATTTTCAAGTAAATGAGTACTGATCTGAGAAGAAAGAACTTCTTTTCTCAAAAGTAACACTTTAATGGTAGCTGATTAACATTCTGACTTGTTATAGGGCAGACTTCTAAGAGTCGAAAGTTTGGGAGATAATTTTCTCAGTACTGAAAAGTTGATTAATTTTGACTAACTAACAAGTAAATATTAGAGTTGAGTTTAGAAGTTTCCACTCACAATCAGAAGTTATCAAACATAAAACTTCTTAACACTGTAAATCAAATAATGTAGATAACTGATCCCTTGGTTGAAAAATGTATTGTTTTACATTTTATCTAAATTTATGTTAAGCACCATTTTCTATGGAAAGTAAACATAAATAAATAGGTTTATACTTTTGTTTTTCCTTGCCACTAATTCTTTCACAGTCCTGTAGTATTTCAACACAATTCAATGTACTCTGTGATTTGTCCTAAGCCCGTTAGTTCTAACAACAACAGCAAAACAAATCCAGGTTTCCAATTTTTCCACCAAAAAATCTATTTGTTTTCCAAAAATAATTTTATAAGATAGAAAGTAGCTACATATATTTAAATATTTTGATAAAAGGAAAGTTAGACCTTGTCCCTGTTATGTTTCAAATCAATAATCATGTCAGTGTGTGTTTCAAGCCAGCTCAATGAGAAATTAATTTTCACCACGAAATTATCTTACCTCAAATATGTTTGAAGGCTCATTGTTGTACTGATTGGATATTATTTCTGATTGGTCACTGCACCACTTGAGTCCACCCAGAAAGCTGTCTGTATCCAAGTCGTTCACGTCTAGTTCAGAGAGGTCAAGTTCAGGAAGATCTGGGCAAAGAGGCTGGTCTTCACCAACCAGAGCAGCACACTGCAGGAGGCAGGGGGGAAAGCTTTCATTAACTGCAGGAATTTATTAAACTGCAATAGCATGTGATAGGAATTAAGCCTGGCTAATTCAACGACACCACCACAGCTTGTTTCTAGGGCTTTATCACCAGGAAAAAAAATCCTAAATTCTTTTACTCATTTGCTCCAAATAGGATACATTGCCTGATCCATTTCATCCAAAATTCTACCCCCCAAATCATCAGTGACATGCTTTCCCCAGAATGTCTCTCAGTTTCAAGTTAGAAGTCAATTGGATTTGTTTTGATCTCTTTGAGAGTTAGCTCTTACCAAATTTCAAACTATTTTATTAGATTACTATATGCAAAACTTCACTCTACCCTGGGTATAACCCTTTCCAGGGACATCCACAAGTTTGATTTTACATTGGAATTGCCCTCACACATAATGGAGACAAAATGAGCAATGGCCAAATAAAAAATAGAACAGAGGAACTCTACTAGGAAAACTTTTTCTCTTTATGCTTCATTAAAACATAATAATCCATATAATTCATTTAGCAACTAATGATGCAATCTCTTGAATTGTTATTTAAATCATTTACTCCTACTTGGCTTTTCATTAGTTTCTGAACTTTATCCACAACAGGTTAAAAGTGAGTTCCTTGAGATGAAAGACAAAAATCCTATTTTTCTAGATGATCTTTCTACCATTTACCATGGATTAATGTGCAAGGTATGTGTGCTGTGTGTGAGTGAGTGAGAGAGAGTGTGTGTGCTATTTAGATTACCCAGTGTCTAAATATAAAAAAACTCTGGCACACCACAATTTTACTTTTTTTTTTTCATTATTTTTTTCCCTCTAAACCTGAATTCAAAGAGCCTATTTTTCTTTGGGGTTTTAAAATGATTTTACTCTCAAGAGAAGTTTAATATCTTGTCTTCTGTGTCTGGGCTGCTTGTCACATAGGCTATTTTAAATATGCAGGTTTTCATCTCCTTGCCTGGTGAACGTGGTCCCCAGACTGCCCCACACTAGCTTCTTATGGAAAGTCAACCTTTACTATCAAAGAGGGAGCTGCTGAGTTCTGATTGGCTACCTGACTTGGTTTCTCACTGCCCCTGGGAAGAGTCTTGCAGAAACTTCCTCTGCAGGGGTCTGGGGCTTACAAAGACATCAGGATTTTAATCCACCTGCAAGCTGTAGCCACACAGATCAGAAGACACATTCTGCAAAGTGGCACCCTCATGACCTGACCCTCCAAGGTCAGGCTGGAGGCTCTTGAGAGCTTCACAGCCGGGCAGCAGCGGGGCATGAAGCTGAAGATTCTGCTTGACATTTTAAATTTTGAATAAAATAAGTTTTATGCAGATTTGTTTCTTCCAGCACCCCTGTCATTCCTGGCAGGTGACATTACATGGGTCATATGCAGCAGTGTGCTCAGAAGCACCACACTGAGAAGTAGGTACTGGGTAATGGAGTCAGCAGTTGGTAAGGGGCGCTTGGGAGGAGCCTGGAAATCAATGCAATTCTACTCCAAGACCACCAAGCACCAGAGGGAACCCCAGCTGCATACAGTGAGCATGCGCAAAAAAAAAATAGGAGGGGGGTATCTTCTGCAATGACCTTTACTTATCATTTTATTGGTCTTTCTCTTTTTTATGATCAGAGTTAGCCCAAAGTTACAGATGGATAGACTTGACTGGGTTTATAAGGAAGTGGAGATTGGGCAGAAGAGATGTTCCTGTACAATGTTTACATTTTGTGATTGGGGTCAACTTCCAGAGTCTGAATTAGCCCACTCCGTAAAGGCTGTATGGTGCTTACTCTTCCACAACGCCACAGAAAATCAAAGCCAAGGGGAGGTTTTTGCAATGGTGCAATGTGATCCCTTAGGATTTTATGATTTCACTGTGGGCTGAGAGTCGGTCTTCATTTAAAAAAAGGGAGCACAAAAAAACAGTAACACACTGTAAGAACACATTAGAAAACACGGGCTCTCTAGATCTGACTGCAGTTTCTGCTATAAAGAGCAGGATTTTTAGAAACTGTGTTTTTGAACGCTGAAGTGCGTTTGCTGATTGGTCCACAAGTTCTTACTGTCTTCCTCCCCTTCTCTGCCCTCTCCAGGCCTGGTTCAATCAAAACCATTCAGCCTTTCAGAAGTCTGCATCTGGAAGGAACTTCTGAACACCACTGAAAAGACTAACTCTGGGTTGTGAGTTTTGTAGGTGTGTACTTCAGGAGGCTGCAGTTCCTTTTAGCTTCCTTTTCCTTTCTTCTCTCTCATTGTTTTAGGATTGAAAAATGTGCACATGTTCTTGCCAATGTCGGCTGCTAATAAAATCAGTGCTTCTGAACCTGGAATTATCCTGATAATCTAAAACACATTAGTAGGAGCAAATGTTCCTGTTATTAACTTATATTTGGCCAATGGATGATGCCAAACTTAACAGTCCGAGTCCTGTAACTGTCCTCATCTGACATTCTGATATTTACTGCTTCCCTATATATCAGTAACAGGTGTACTTTATTGCAATTACAGAGACACATTCTATAGCCTCTTTGCAACTATGACAGCTATTTCACAACTGTAGCCTTAATTTTATAACAAGATTTAAGAGGATAAAGCAGTCACTAAACACAAAAGGCTAATTATTGTACGTTCTTTCACCCCAACAGACTTTTCTCTTAGTTAAGGAACAGACAATAAATTAGCTTAACTGCACTGATGATAATGAATCATTATAATTAAGTATAATTCTCCATTAACCTTTTGGAGGTTTTTGTGCCGTTGATGGTAAATTTTAAAGAGAGAGAAGAAAGAGTGGACTTGGCCACATTAATTATAAATAATAAAAAAAATTGGACTTCTTAAAAAAAATAGGCAAAACTGGGGTAGCAGGATGGGAGACGGCCGAGAGTGGCCGTCTTAGTAGCATGCATGCGATATGAATCGTCTCTACTGGTCTTAGTAACACGACTGTACATCACCTTCCTTAAACCGTGCAGTATTGAGGAATCTCATAGCTTTGGTGAGAGAGGCCTTTCTTAACGAATGTGCTGTTCCATCATTATGTGAAATACATTTTAGGACGACAGCAAACATCAACAATTCAAAAAGGAAAGTTGCCTGAGTTACCTGCTGCTTGGAATATTTAAGACCAGCAGAGGTGATCCCCAGAGGAACGCAGGCTCCTAGCAGCCTGCCGCCCACAGAGCCAGTGGGAAGCAAGTGGCCAATCTCAGGTCATCTCCAACTCAATCCACTGCTAGACAATTAGGCTGAGACTTCACCTTCTTGAGGAGAAAAACAAAACAACCCCCCCACCCGCACCCCCCCCCCAAAAAAAACAGAGACAAGGGCTACTGTTCTTCATGGTTCTAACACTTCTGCAGGAATTCCAACAATTAAGCAAAAATGTCGTTCCTATTTCCCTCCGATAGAGCTCCTCCATCAACTTCTAATAGCATCAGGAATAATACATGATGGAAAAACGAAACTACCGCAGCTGAGACCCACTCCGCCAGCCAGACAAACGGCCACAAGCTACTCCAGTTCCTCCTCTAAGAAGAAAAGGAGGACTTTGAAGCCACTTGGAACCCTGACTCATAATAGCCACAGGCTAGATGCATTGTCCATATCTATTTCGCCCTAAGGAGAAATCACCAGGAGATAAGAACCATTCTGATCTGCAAATAGGAGTTGCAAAGCAAGAGAAGGCACCAGGGAGGGAACATTTGCAAACCCAGCAAAGAGTTAAGACGCCAAGGCACGCCTCGCTAGATAGGAAAAATGCATTCGCAGACGGCCACGGCCAAATTATTTTCACTTTAGATGTGTATCGCCGCACCGCATGGACATCTTATTCAATCAAATCACGTGTGGCACTTGATCCTCCCTCTTACCCTACGTGCCCCCAGCCACCAAGAGGAAGCGCTCACAGTCCATTTGCCAGATTCATTGTAAGCAGTTCAGCTCCTCTGTGCAATTCAATTCGGGTCCATCTCACCAGAGTCCACAGAAAGTTTTGCTGCTTTCCCAAGTTGCCCAAACTTTCAGAGAACATTCCATTGTGCTGAATTCAAACATGCCAAGGCCCTCGGTCTCGCCCCCTCTCAGCCCACCCCGCCAGTCACTCTAGACTCCTGAGATTACGAGGAAACAGCTTGCTTTTCCCCCCTGTATGAATTGTAGCCAGCAGAGACTGTGGAATTGATGTATTGCCGTCTATTTTTACACAAGCAGCTCCACACGGTCCTGCATAAACTCTATTCTCTCTCTCTCCCCGACTTCAGGCAGCTCTCCGTGGTACAGGCAGAGTTAACCATTGGTTTCCCTGCTAGCGACGCTAAGAAAAAATCTTGCCCTAGAAGGCGTCATTTTTATATTTCACTGCCCAAATCTTTCAGCAACCGAGAGGAGTTTGAAAAGAATCAGCTTCCTTGTTCTGCATTCTGTGGGAAAAGCCATCTCAAAGAACCCAGCAGGGTTATTTTGGATTTTGTAAGTTCTCTGTCTGATGAACAGAGAGAGCAAGAAAGAAGGGGGAAAAAATCCAGACTCCAGTCAAACCTGACTATATTTGAGCACATCCATTTTAATATTTTTATCTTCATCTTATTATAAATAGAAATGGCATTTTTCCAACCAGGCCACAAAACACCACTGGAAAGACTTCAGCTTCTGATTCATATCAATATCTTAGAGCATAAATATTGCATATGAGTAGAAACAGAGCCAAAGGCACATGGAAAGACTTTCCAACTGCAACAGATACTGATGACAGCAGCTAAGCTTTGATTTGCTCAAGGCATCTCGGAGCCACCTTAAAATAGCAAACTTATGGAGTTAAGATAAGACTGAGATTCCCTTCCAAAAAGCTCCTGCGGGCTACTTTTCTGCCTCGTTTCCTCGCCCAAGCCCTTCCCCCTCTTACAGGAATTATTGCATCGCGAGGAGGGAAGCGTCACTTCTGGCTGCAGAGCCCAGCCCAGTCCCAGCTCACCTCGATGTCACTCCATACACAGTCCTGGCTGCACATGTCCCACGCCATCCAGCTCCTGAATGACGCCAGTCAAAGCTTTTTCAACTCTATCCACAGTGACACAGAGCACACACTCATGCAGGCAACCAGCCCCTTACTGAGAGTGAACTGAAGGCACCTGTCTTACTACAGTCTCCAGTCACATGACAAAGCTATTAAAAAGTAGGCTGGGCTGTCACTCACCCAGCCTCCCTTCTCCTGTGCAGCTAGCTGCTCAAACTCCTGACGTCACTCAAAGGCAGCCCTCTGCCTCAGTGAAGTAACGCTCAAAAAAAAAAAAAACCGAAAAGAAGAAAGAAAGGAAACACTTGGACTTTGGGAGCTTTCAGCATCACGCTGAGACTAAAGCCAGCTTTGAATGCCACAGACTCTAAACGGAGCCCTGCCATATAATAACTAAAATCCCCGGCAATCTTTTTTTAATTTATTTTCCTTCCCAAACTAGCAAGGGGCAAAGCTCCCTGTTTTCATGACAGAGTCGCTCTATTCGGAGCTCCAGCGTGCTCTCCCTCAGAGCTGGAATTTTAAGATCTCCAAGTAGACTCTAGCTGGGTTTGGGACTAAAACAAGAGCTTATCACATGATGCATTTTTATGAGATATTTTCGACTGGGGGAGTGTTGGACCACAGAGAAGAAGGATTTGTCTTGCCTTTTTTTCCCCCCTGGCTTTTTTGTTTGTTTAATCAACACAACTGCCTGGACGTGTTAAGGTATAAACAAACTCCTCCACCCAGAAATCAGCTGTCCCCGTGGCAGCAGGGAAGACCAAGTGTTACTGCGGTTTGCTTTGCTCCATATAAGGAGAACAAGCAAGAAAAAATACCCTCCTTTCAGGTTTCTTCTAATTATTTCCATTTTCCTCACAGGCTTCCAGAAAACAAGTGTTAGTAAGAACAGTGACTGCTGATATGCCCGGGTCAGCTCCATTTCCCCACAGCATTTTTTTTTTTCCATACGTTTCCTCTGTAACTGCCTTGGGGTGGCTTTTTGTATAAACACTGGATTCCAAGCCTCGTGGCCCGGGTTGTGCAGTTTGCGTCTGAGATCAAGAATGTCCGTGTGGTGAAGGAAAAATACTGAGGAAGCTCTCAGTAGAAATGTGCATTATGTGAGTTTCCTAATTTTTTTTTTCAGCTTCTATCCTGAAACAATGAGAGCTAATACAGGTGCAACTGTTTTATGATGACACTACAGATTCAATACACAACAAACTCAAGGTACAAGTTACCAACGAAGAGCACTTCCCAAAACAGAGCAGTGGTCGGGATTAACCCTTCCAAGTTTCAGGGAGATGGACACGTGTATGTGCGTTTGAGAATATGTTTTTATAAGATTTTCAGCCCAGTATACTTTGAAAATTAGCTCAGTTCCTTTTCTGGAACTGAGCCTAGCATAAAAACAATCCCCAAGGGATGAGGGAAAAAAAATATGTATATATATAAAATGCTTAAAACACAATGAATTTAAACTCCCATTCTATTAAAGTTCAATTTCATGTTTGCTCTATTGTCCATCTCATTAAAATGGAACATGAGATGATTTGCTCTAACATATATTTTAAACATAGAGTTGTTCAGATACTAAAGAGAAAGGGAAAAAAAGGAAAATAACAGGTTTCTTTTTTTTTAGCCTTCATAGATTATAGATTTGTCTGTTCTGATCTCTGCAACAAGTTGCTAGTAAATTCCTGAATAATGTGATTAAATTAATAAAACTGACGCTTGTCATTACCAGATGAAAAAAGATGACCATAAGCGTTGACATTTTAGGTTAGCTGAATACATTTAACTGGTACCCTTTTCCCTTGCACAAATAGCAGAAAATTACTGTAGTTTTATTTTATTTTCTAAATCAAGAAAGAACAGGAAAATACAACCTCGGAAAGGCTTTTATACCTGCAATTAGTGGGCATTACTCTGTACTCCCACAAAGAAACACTAATTCTCTTCCCAATTATATTCTGATTTAATGTAAAACTACAGTAAATTATTAAAATTCAGGGCAAAGGTCTTTGGCTCTATCCTCCACATAGTCAACTGTGAAATAATATTGGTCACTTGACCAAAAGGAGTTGACATTTATTAATTATTATTAGGTGATCTCTGAGTCTTGCTATTCCCGGGTACTTTCAGTAGTGTTCATTAAATGCTAGCCAGCTTTTATAAATATATATTTATTCAACTATATTAAAATATTCATACTGAAATATTTAGTTACATTGTTTTTGATGTTTTAACATGTTCACATTGTATTTCCTTATCTTTTTGTCACATAATCAACTTTGTCTTAATTAAATCAGCACATGCACCAAAATCAGAGGTGCTATTTTATTTTTTTCTTACAACATCACAAAGAGGGTTAATTTGTAATCAAAATATTGACATGATTTATAAACTACATCATATTATTTTTCCCTCCAATTTATATCAGTATACAAATAAACATTTTAAATAAATTATTGGGACATATTAGACAATATGTCTTTGGGGGCTTAAAAATGAAAACAATATTTTACAAATATTCTAACTTGATTGACTAGTTCTTCAGATTAAAAACTCTTCTGTCCAGTTTTACTTTTTTCTCTTGCCCCAGAAAGATGTAAATTGTCACTTTGCTTACAAAGTTCGATCTTTTCTGCTTCCCCAGCTAGACTCTCTGTGTCTACATTCTCCCTCACCTCCAAGGCTTCTCTTCCTTCCCTGCAGCCTTCCTTTGACCCCCCCCCCTCCACACTGTTCCTGCCGTTTCTAGAAGTTTGGTTTTGATCAGGAATCTATTGAAACCTTATCTGTCCACAGCAATGTACCACAAGGATGCCAAAAAAACATATGACATGAGTACAGGGAACTGACAACTTTAGGGATCTGCCAATCCTTAAAATTGTAAAATAATATCATAGGATAATGTTACCTCCTTGCTTAATACACAGATTTACTTTTCCTTTAAGCACACCTTTTTTTTTCTTTTTTTTTTTTTAGGTGCAAAGTCCTTTAAGGAACCATTACAATTCACACCGGAATCAACCCTATTTTGTCTCAACAATAGAAAGAGGTATTTATTAACATCTGTGGAGTGCCCATAATGTTCCCTATCTACAGACCACAGAGATTCCGCCCTATGGAATTTCTCCCTGACAGCAGTTTTGTTAACATTTCCCTAAGCTTTGACATTGGTGGGGGAAGAAGAATCTATCCTTAGAGTTGCTAATAAGCAAACCAATTCAAGTCAATAACCAAAGTATTTGATGAAATCTCTGACACTTGGATTTTCTTCCCCACCTGGGGCCCTAAACAGCACCTGTGTATCTCAGATAAATGTCCACTTCTGAAAATTAAACAGGATCCCAAATACCCGATACTCAAATATCAGAGCAAACAACAAAGGTCATGGGTTTTAATGTCATCATTTTATATAGTTACAATTTCAGAAGAACTACTAGTAGAAGTATTTTTGTCCATTTGTTTTTATAAGAGTTTGACAAACTATATAAGAACACACTTAAGGCTGAAACTTTTCAAGAAAGTAAACATTTGTAGCAGATACAATCAGCACTTTATATGACACAGTTCAATCAATTTTGTAAAGTACCCAATAAATATGATCTGTTGACCCATTTTATAACGGACTAAAATAAGACAAGGACTAGCAGCTTAGATAGTAGCTAGACCAGGCATATAGATCTTTGAAAACACTTGTAGGAAGAACTGAAATGTATACAGAAGGAAAATAGTCATTTTCCAATCTAAAAAAGGCAGAGACCCTTGAGTGATGGTTATATCCAAGACAGTGCCTGAATTACTGGAAACCAACATTCCTAGGAATTCTGCCGGCCAGCCTACAGTAGTCTTTCAGAAAGGAAAGGGGTCTCCCCAGAACTGCTAGTATTTTTAAAGTTAATCATTGCTTAGCAGCATTCAAAGGCTTACTTTTCATTCCTGAAAAAGCTAATTGATCCTTTTAGCCATCATCAGTTTCTGAGTACAGACTAGATGCTTCAGGAATAGGTGTCTGAATGTCTGAGACTATATAGGAAGCAAAAGTTGGTTCTAGGGACTGGAGCGATAGTACAGCAGATAGGGCATTTGCCTCGCACACGGTCAGCCCTGGTTCGATTCGCAGCATCTCATGTGGTCCCCTGAGCACCACCAGGAGTAATTCCTGAGTGCAGAGCCAGGAGTAAACCCTGTGCATTGCCAGGTGTGACCCAAAAAGCAAAAAATAAATACAAGTTGGTTCTAGAGCAGAAGATAAGAACCCAGGTGGGGTATAAATGGTTGTTTTTACTAAACACTCTACTCTAAAATTGTATTTTATAGAACACTTTTACATGAACAGAGAGTCTTTGGAAGAACAAACATTTCAGCGGACTGCCTTAAAGCCTCCCAGAGCATCACTGGTTGAATTGGTTTTTAACAAAGTAGAGGTATGTGGTCAGCAAACTCACTCTTTCTTTTATCTTTTATTTTTTTTTCTACAGACCAGTCTCTGTGCAACTGGATCAGCCTACATTTAAAAATATACCTCCAAATCTATACGGCTATATTTTTAAACTAGTCTCAAAAGGTAAGAATGAATAAGTTGTTTTCACTTATTACTTCTTTATTCCAATCATAACAGACAAGTATGAGAAAGGTTTTCTTGTTGTTCTTGTTTTGCTTTTTTCAGAAAAGCAGCTCTTGGCATTTCTCCCAACAAAACAAAACAAAACAAAAATAGTGTGAAAATTAATCTGAGTTGTAGCTGAGTGGTCTAACCTAAACATAAAGCAAAAAGTAAGTCTCTCAGCTCCACTGACAACAGAAATGAGAACGATGGTTAAAATCTGATTTGTTAGATATTTAACAGATTTGTGCATCTACATTTTTATTTACCTTTATTTTAGTCAATTCATTTATAATACAGTAAGTTATTGATTAATTTACATAAGAAATGCACAATAAAATTTTTTGGCAATTTTTTACTGAAACTGAAAATAAATCATATCATATCTTACTAAATTTGGTACTATTTTAAAATATAAAGTGCTACTGATACTTAACAATATAATCATTCACTTAGAAAGCTTCTTATGGCTTCACAGGAGGCAATTAGCAAGGGCCAGAGAAGACTGAGGCATAGAAATTCTTAAATTGAAAAATGTATTTGTTTAGATAAACATTTCTCCTGATACTTTTAGGATTAAAGTTTTCAAACATGTACTCTTGGGATTTCAAATATTTCCCTACTACTTTTAGATTTTTAGATTTTTAGGGCTAAGTTCTTCATGAGCTTATTTTTTTTCTCTTAAATTTAGAGGAGAAAACAGGATTTGGTTCCAACAAGTCTCAAAATGAAGAATAAATAAGTAAAGTTCTTTTTATTTTTTAATGTCAATAAACAAATCTTGGAAAGGTTTTAGGTGATTTTACTTTTCTTTTTGCTCTAGATTTTTTTTTCTACTGTTACTTGATAGCTGAATTTTACTCTAGTTGAGTTAGTACATACACAAACAAACAAACTGTCCTCCAGTTGTTCATGGATTTGCTTGAGCGGGCCCAGTAACATCTCCATCATGAGACTTGTTGTTACTGTGTTTGGCATATTGAATATGTCACGGGTAGCTTGCCAGGCTTTGCCACGCGGGCTCGATACTCTCGGCAGCTTGCCGGGCCTCCGAGAGGGGCACAGGAATTGAACTCGGCTGGCCAGGATGGCTGCGTGCAAGGCAAATGCCCTACTGCTGTGCTATCGCTCAAAATATGGAGACGTAGAAATAAAATAAGGTCTTAAAAAGCAATCAGTTTAAGGTTCTAAGCTAAATGTTCTGAAAACACACAATACCTTAATATTTGCTAACCATTCTATTTACAGGATTCTCCAAGAGTGAACTCCACATTTAACATTACAATCAAAAATAGGTGGCAATGGGGTCAGAGGGATAGTACAGCATGTTAGGGCATTTACCATTTGTGCAGACCATCTGGGTTCAATCTCTGTACCGCATATGGTCCCCCAAGCCTGCCCGGAGTGGATCCTGAGCACAGAGTCAGAAGTAAACCTGAGCACTTCTGGGAGTGCCCTCCCAAAGTAACAAAAAATAGGTATCAAATACTACCGGCAAGATTATAAATTTTTCTAGAGAAAAAAATGAATCAAAACTGTTGACATAGGCATTACCAGAAATTCTACTTTAAGAGTTTATGTATAAAAATAATACAAGAATATATGGAAAGTTTTCCTTGTAAGGATAGTCTGTGCTACATAATTTACATTATTAAAAACTAACACCAGGGGGCTGGACATAGCACAGCGGGTAGGGTGTCTGCCTTGTACATGGTGGACCCGGGTTCAATTCCTAGCAACCCATATGGTCCCCTGAGCACTGCCAGGAGTAATTCCTGAGTGCAGAGCCAGGAGTAACCCCTGTGTATGGCCGAGTGTGACACAAAAAGAAAAATAATAATTCACACCAGTGCAAAGGATCAGTATAAATGGCCTAGTTAAAGAAAATATAGAGCAGTATACATCTATCTTTAATTCTATCATGAAAAGGCTGTTGCAAAAAATATTTAATATCATACTAGGAAATTTTAAACTTACCAATATTAAAAATCATGCTTGAGGGGCTGGAGCAATAGCACAGTGGGTAGGGCGTTTGCCTTGCATGCAGCCAACATGGCCAACACAGGTTCAATTCCCAGCATCCCATATGGTCCCCCGAGCACCACCAGGAGTGATTCCTGAGTGCATGAGCCAGGAGTAACCCCTGAGCATCGCCAGGTGTGACCCAAAAAGCAAAAAAAAAAAAAATCATGCTTGAAAAATTATAATCACAACAAATTTATTTATATACATTCAGAAAGAATGGAGAATATATAATAAGTTGTAAATAGCAGCTAATGGCATAAATTCTTTTTCATCTTCTATGTAGGAGAGTATATTCCTTCCTGTAATTTAAAAAAATGCGATAAACACATATAACTTTCGTATCTTTGAGAAAATACGAACATTAAATGTTCAAATAACTGTACAAATTCACACTTACAGCTATGCCTTTTTAACATACAGGGAATGTAGCAAATAGAAATCGTCCCTGACATTTAACATGTCTGAAAAGTTCATTGTGTCTTCAGAAGGAAATCATTTCTGTCTGACACACCAAGACCAACAGCTATTTCTCTTGGGAAACAAATTTCATGGGTGAGCCTGGAAAGTTAATATCAGGAACTCTTAGAAATTCCTGATCCCAAGTGCAGAGGGCATTGTAGAGGAGTTAATTCATCAAAGTTTCTTGGTACCACACTGTCCTCTGAGCACCAGCATCACTCGGTGTAGCAGCCAGAAGCCCCCATGCTCCACAGGGTTTGTCCTTGGAGGACCCCAGCAGAGCACTGTGGGGTGATCCCAGGGGTCAGTAACACTCAGTGTCCGAGCAGCATGGCAACATCCTCCGGCCCCTATACTACACCAAAAACTCCACTGGCAGATAATCTCCAAGGGTGGTCGTCCAGAACCCCTAAGCAACACTTGGAGGACACTGCTCTCCCATCCTGTCAAAGAAAACCCAGAGCCTTGAATTAACGGGAAACTACCCCAGATACTATTATCATCTTCACTTGATTTCTCAATTTAAAATTTTAGCACATTCGGGGCTGGAGCAATAGCACGTGGCCAACCCGGGTTCGATTCCCAGTATCCCATCTGGTCCCCCGAGCACCACCAGGAGTGATTCCTGAGTGCATGAGCCAGAAGTAACCCCTGTGGATCGCCGGGTATAACCCCCACCAAAAAAAATTTAAAAATTAAAAAAAAAATTAGCACATTAAGCTCACCACATATTCAATTTAAAAAAATGTAGATCTCCTTGGTAGTATTAAGGAGATTTCAGTTATATATTCACAAGATCTATCTGTCCATTTTTCCCCTCTTCTAATAGAATATAGAAACATATACTAAGGGGAGAGAAAAGCAAATGCTTGAAGAAGGATGTGATTTAAAGATGAAGACCATTTCTCAGGAAAAGAACTTTGGCCCGAGGCAGAGGGAGGTTTAAGGTAGAGACATTAAAGATGAGACTTCTTCTGCAGGTGAGAAAAATGAACAAACCAGGGAAAATGTTGCCTGAGCTTCAAACCCACAACTCACAAGTTAACTTTTGGATCATGGCTGTTTCTAAATGTGGCAATCCCTGGGTCTACACAGCAGGTCCTCCTCTGTTCTCTCTGCCTAAGTTCTCACCGTTCTACAGGCATTATCCTAAAAATCAATCTTCCTATAGTTGTGTGATCCCATTTTGACTGGTATTTTGTTTGCTTTGGTTTGGTTTGCAGGCCACCCCTGGAGGTGCTCAGGACTTAATGCCTGACTATGTGCTCAGGAATCACTCTTGGAAGGGTTCATGTTTAATCCTGGGGATTAAACCCATGTTGGCCAAGATAAGGCAAATGCCCTACTTGCTCTACTACCCTTCTGACTGCTATCAGTAAGAATTTTCATAAGAAGAAGGGTGAGGACTGTGGAAGTGTCCAGCCCAGGAGACTGAAAGAGAGTCTAGGAGGTTCAAGTCTATCTGATGAGTAGAGTCAGTTTGTGGATCATCATTTAGACAGAAAAGGGAAGGAAAGAATAATAAGAATCTGAGTGTACACGGAACTGTGTCACCAGTCTGCAATCCAACTCTAGGCAGTTCTCTTAACCTTGGTTTCTTATTTATGAAAGGACAGAGTCATATGCAATTTTATGTAAGATCCCCGCGCACTTTCTACATATGTCTGATGTGACAGAGATAGGCAGTGAGAGAAGCCCTCTTCCTTCAGGGTGAACCCTAATGTTTCTTCAAAGCCACTGAAAATCAGGGAAGGGGTGAGTATTGGGGAGAGGAAAGTACAAAAGGTGCCAAATTTCCTTTGCAATAAGAATATTTAACTTCCTGACCTTCAAAAAATAAACAAAAACAGAACACAAGAGAACTTGTGAAATATAATACTTACACACACACACACACCACACACACACACACACACACACACACACACACACACACACACACACCTGAGAAGCCCAGCTACTACCAACAAGGTTTGCTTCCCCATCCCAGGTCACTGGCCCAGAGAAACAGCATTCCTGCCTCAATTTTTAGCATGGATTATCTTCAATGACACCGGGCATTTAAAAACACTGATATGATAGTGGCTATTTCCTTACCCCTGCTGATAGAGGCAATTTCACATACTAAACATGTGATTTGGTTTTACAATAGGTAAGAAAGGATGTTACCTGCAGAGGCAAGATTTAAAAAGGATCCTGTGTATAGGACTTTGTAAATAGGAATATGGTCTATAGAGGTAAGGGAACTTAAAAGTAACCTGTCTGGCTCCTAATACCCAAGGGTATTCCATCTCCGTAAATTTAAAAACAAAACAAAAAGATCTGGATATTTAAAAATATTTGGCAAAAAAAAGAGAACTTGACCTCTTTTTCATCTGAATGGAATAATCTGAGATATTACTGGTGGGCAGAGGGGAGGAGTGTGGGGTTATAGGAAGGAATGAAGAGCGTCTAT